TCGGTCCAGTGAAAGGGCTGGCTGCAAGAGCGTTTTCGTATTTTCCGCATGTATACGAGTTAGTTTAGAAAGGCCTCTACTAAGGCATCGCCCTTCACTCCCTTTAGGCAGATAGCCATCAAGTGTTTTACCATAATTAAATAAACCAAACTAAGACATGCGTGACATAATAGGCTTTAAATAGTTTCACGATTCCTTCATCCACTGGAAGTGTGCTTGATGGAAGGAATAAAGCCTCTACATATGGATGCAACGTTGCGAGGGCTTCAGTGCCGTGTCTTAGAGGCAGGGCTGTATTAACCATCAAGCAATATTCAAGGAAAGGAGGCACAACAAAAAATGTAGTCAGGAAAGTCAGGAAATTTCACATGGCAGTTTTACCACAAAATGCATGATGCAGCTAAACCAAAAACCGACAGAGTGAAGGAATGGAGGAAAAAACAATTGGCTTAAACATATGTAAGGGAACGAAAATCTTTTAAGTACTTACGGCGTCTAAAGGTCTTAATCCGATCCTGTCTGGTGCGTTATCGAGAGTCAGGAGAACTTAAATTTCAGGTTCTATGTGTTAAGTTTAGGATTGTGTATCCATAGATCGCCAATAGATGGCGGTAGTGTTTGTTTGTAAAAAGAAACTGTGATGTCAATTATGTATATGTATCAGTTCGTCTTTGGTGTTCGTGAATAAATGTTGTGTGGAAGAACGCTCCTCTGTTTATTACTTTAACTGCGATCCAGTCTGATTTATTAGAGATTTACACATATTTTGTTTATGGTGCCTGCAAACCGGGATTATTACGAACCAGAAAATCGACAGACTGAATATTTCGAAAATGGAGGGCGTTCTTGAAAATTTGAAAAAGAAACGATCGGTTGTTAGACAATTAACTACGAAACTGATAAGCAAAGTCGAATCGAATTTAGCAAATAATATTCCGCTAAATGAGAAAATTGAGATAATCGAGGATTTATATGAACAGTTAATTGAGAAAATCAATGAACTGAAAAGTTTAGATTCAGAAATAGAAACGAAAGTAACTTCGGAGGAGATTGAAAATGAAGTTACCTTAAGTCAAGAATACCAAGATAAAACTGTTATATGGAGAGGAAGAATGCAACGATTTTTGAAGAAGAATTCGGAATCTTCTAGAACAGTTCATCAGAACGAAACGGCTAATGTTGCACTTCCAGTTGAAACGAAAACAGTGAAGTTGCCAACGTCTGCAAATCGGAACTTATTACGGAGATTCGTGTAAATGGTTAGACTTTTGGAACCAATTCGAAAATAACAATTCATAATCATAGTGGATTGAGAAAAACTGAAAAATTGGCGTGTACCTAAAATCCTTACTTGGAGGTAATGCTTTAGCTGCCATTTCCGGTTTCGCTTTAAGTGACCAGAATTATGATTCCGGAGTAGAAATATTGAAAGAACGTTTTGGAAGACAAGATGTTGTTATCACTTCGCATATGAATAAATTATTATCCCTTGAACCAGTGGGAAACATTTCAAATGTTAAAGCACTGCGTAAGCTGTACGATGAATGCGAAGTCAACATTCGAAGTTTAGAATCGTTAAAACGTTACTTCTGGAAGTTATGGAAATATTCTCTGTCCTATCATTTTGCAGAAATTTCCAGAGGAATTAAATTTGGAATTTAATCGAAGTCGAAAATATGGAAGCAGGATTTGATATAAAAGGAACTTATAGAATTCTTAAAAAAGGAAGTTAACTGTCGAGAAGCTGCAAGTTTAATGAACTCTGCGAAAACGAATCAGAAACCATACTTTCGTCAAAATGAACAACGCACGAAAGTTTATCCGAATTATAAACCGAAAGTTCCGACTGCTTCAGCTTTATCAACAATTGGATACAAATGTATATTTTGTGACAAAAAAGATCATACGAAATATAAATGTACTGAGGTGAACGCTGATGAGAAACGCAACATTTTGAAACGTACAGGAAAATGTTTTATGTGTTTTGGATGTAAACATTTAGCTATCAACTGTAAGAACAAACAGTTTTCCTGCAAAAAGTGCCGCGGTAAACATCATGAAAGTGTGTGTGTAAATCCCACATCAGCTGTCTCCAGTGTAAAAAATAAGGAAACCGAAACATCGGCGGAAATTGTTCAAAATTCTTCTGCCAAAACTGGATCTAATATTATGCTTCAAACGGTGTATGCTGTGGCTGAGGGCAAAAATAAGAACTGTATTGTGAGATGTCTTCTTGACGGCGATAGCCAAATCTCTGCAATTCGAGAAGATTTATCAAGAAAATTACAATTGCCAGTGAAAGGAGAAACTGTTTTAAATCTGCATACCTTCGGTGAAAAGAACGGGAAACATTGGCGGCGAAAGAAAGTTGAACTTACGCTCCGGAATATTAATGACCCTGAAAAATCCATAAATCTCGAAGTCATTGAAATACCAGTCATAACAAATGCCGATATACGAGTACCAGATGTAGAAATCAAATCCAAATTCCAAGCATTCGGCGTCACTTTGACAGACTGCGGCAGCGCCGATGGAATGAATCATATTTCCGTTTTAATCGGCGCGGACATTATGTGGAACAAGTTTAGTGATAGCCAAGAACAGAGTGGCTCCCCTGAAAAAATTATCTTTACCAAGACTCGAGCTTATGGCAGCAGTGTTAGGTGCAAGACTTGTAACTACAGTCCGTGTGCATTTTCCTCAAGCTAAGATTCACTTATGGACAGATTCTCTTATTGTGCTTCATTGGATAAAAGAACTCACCACGGCGATAGAAAACATTCGTACAAAATCGAGTGTCTGAAATTCAAGACAAAACATCCCCGAGTACATGTGGCATCATTGTCCTGAAGCTCAGATAATCCAGCCGATAAAATCACAACGTGGTGTTAAAGTGAGTGATCTTGTAGTAGATCAAGTGTGGTGGCATGGGCCTCCATGGCTTCATCAAGATGAAATAAATTGGCCTAAAGTGAACGAGCATTGTAACATAGTAGATAGTGCTGAAGAAAGAGTTGTGACTCAAGTTACTAGCAGTGTTCAACCCTTACAACCTGTGTTAAAAATAGAAAACTTTAGTGACTTAGGTAAACTTTTAAGAGTCACGTCATATGTATTTAGATTCATTAATAATTTAAAATCACAGAATAGAGTGATTGGTCCTGTGACTAAAAATGAAATATGTAATGCTATGTGTTATTGGATTATCTTATCACAAGGTGAGTATTTTTTTGAAGAGTTGAATGATGTTAAATGTAAAAAACCATTGTCTCATAATTCCAAATTGTTTGGGTTAAATCCAGTAATGGATGAAAAGGGTTGTTTAAGGGTTGGAAGCAGATTAATAAAATCTTCGTTAGATGCCGATGTAATTCAGCCTATCATATTATCAAATAATTCTTTTTCTCTTTTAATTATTTTAAATTGTAATGAAAAGGTACTTCGCTGTGGGGTCAATGAAAGTTTAGTGGAAGTAACATGAAAAATTTGGATTCTAAGAGCTAGACAGTTTGTAAAATCTGTGTTATATGATTGTAAATTTTGTAAAAAATATAAATGCTAAAGCTGGACACGAGATATCGGCTCCTCTTCCAGCTGACCGAGTGGAGAAAGCTCAACCATTTGAGGTAAGTGGCCATAGATTTTCGCTGGCCCTTTGTATTTAAAAGGATGGTACAAAAGTGTATATTTCATTGTTTACCTGTGCAGTGACTCGAGGAGTCCATTTAGAATTGTTATCAAATTTAAGTGCAGAGTGTTTCATTCAAGCCTTACGTAGATTTTTTGCACGTAGGGGTATTTGTAGAGTTATATATTCTGATAATGCTAAAACCTTTAAGACTGCTGATCGTGAATTAAAATATTTGTATAAATTATGTAAAGATGAAAAGGTTCTAAATTTGCTTGGTAAAAAGGGGTTTGAATGGAAATTTATTGTAGAAGGTGCTCCTTGGTGGGGCGGATTCTGGGAACGTTTGGTAAGATCTGTAAAAACTTGTTTAAAACGTATCTTAGGTAAAGCTTCTTTATATTATGAAGAACTGTATACTGTTTTAGTTGAAGTTGAAGCTGTTATTAATTCTAGACCTATAACGTATGTATACAATGAACCTGATCCTCTTTCACCATCACATTTTATAACTGGATCTAGATTGACTGTTTTACCTTCACCTGAATCTAAACTAGAATCTACAAGATCTCAGTTGATTAAAAGATGGAAGCATAGGCAATTAATATTAGAGCATTTTTGGAAAAGGTTTTATAAAGAATATTTGTTAGAATTAAGATCAGTCATGTTTTCAAAAACTCCAAAGAATTCTCCCGTGTTTAAAATTAATGATGTTGTACTTGTACGAGAAGATAATGTGAAACGCTGTAACTGGAAGATAGGTAGGATTAAGGAATTATTTCATGGAAGAGATGATAGAATTAGATCTTGTGAGATTCAGTTAGATAAGGGTGTTGTTAGAAGACCAATTGAAAGACTTTATAATCTTGAAGTTCAATAAAATTGATGCATCCGTAAACGGATGCATGGGGGGGGGAGTGTTAAGTTTAGGATTGTGTATCCATAGATCGCCAATAGATGGCGGTAGTGTTTGTTTGTAAAAAGAAACTGTGATGTCAATTATGTATATGTATCAGTTCGTCTTTGGTGTTCGTGAATAAATGTTGTGTGGAAGAACGCTCCTCTGTTTATTACTTTAACTGCGATCCAGTCTGATTTATTAGAGATTTACACATATTTTGTTTACTGTGCTCTAATTAATGTCTGACTTCTTTAATGAAAAAATTTTCAAATCAGTCACTAAAGAGGCCTATCGCAATGCGACAGACGTTCTGCAGCGTGTTACGTATAAGTGAAATTTTCGAGCTGGGCAAATTAAATGAAAAAACTTGTGACATACACAAAATCGAATTCGGCAAAGGTTTACAGTAACAACTTTAACAAGTTAAAAGCAGTAAAGTAATATCGAAAAAAAGTAATATTGAGTACTCACCACGAATACATCTGTTATGCAGTAAAGCACATCTTGGTTCCGAATTAAAAAAAGGTCTTACGCGCGTAAAAAAAAAAAAAAAAAAAAAAAAAAAAAAAAAAATACCCTGTCGATTCAATAGTATTACAAGAACTGCAGACACTATTCTTTACAAATGCGAAGTCTTCAAATCGATATGCAATACCTCTCTACCGTGGCCTCACTGAGGAGGAGAAACAAGCAGAAAAACGAGGGAAAAATTCGGTCAACGCTCGCTCGAGGCCTGAGAAGAGGGACGAAAAAACGAGACACCTAGCAAATGAAACGTAGTTGTTCATCGTAATAATACGCAATTCTGCCCCATAATAACAAACCAACCGGCTCCTCCAGCCTACGGAAATGGACAAGCTACAAAAATAAAAGGTCGGGGAATTACCGCCCTCTCCCCTCCTTTTGAAGCATGGAGGTTAGCTCCATGTTTTGAAGAAAGACGTAATGGTCCGGGATAGAAGGTCGACCAAATCACCACTTCGCAAGGATGACTCATTTCAATGACGTCACATGAACAGGCCAAACAACCGCTCAACACAACGGTAGAGAAATAACAGATGTGCAACGCATCGGCTCAGTGTAGAAGCCGCAAAAATGCACGCCGGCCACCTGACTGACCAGTGGCTACATATTTTTGCCATGAATCATAAGCCAGTTGAAACCGTTGTCGATCGATTAATTCATAACAAATCTATTATAAAAGTTTCTGAAAATTTCATATTACATTAGAACGCAGGTTTAAAAAAACGTTTTTGTGAATTTCTAGCTGCATATAAAGACAGTTAGTTATAGTGGAAGTTAGTGGAAGTTTTAAATACATTTTTCTCAATTTTATATTTTTTAGAGCTTTAAATTACTAAAAATTCTATGACTCAAAACATTATTGATGAAATGTTCTTGCAGCATTTGATACCAATATGTATATTATAATTGTATTTATGCCAATAATTTGTATATAATGTATTTATGCCAATAATATGTATATTAAAAACGGTACTGTGAATTCAGCTTTTAACTAAAAAACTTTAAAATGAAATAATAAGCAAGTTAAATAATGCGAATAAAGTAATAACAATAAAAATTTTTGATACATGAAAATTTCGGACTTATCTTTCTTCCACGAGAGAATCTGTAAATTACACTTTTTCTAGAGAATTGTGGGCCCATCAGCGGCCGGGTGGTAAAGTCACTGAATACTGGTAGTTCGGTCCGGGGCTGGAATCCCGGCGAATGGGCTAGCTGCACGGGCGTTTTCGTGGTTTTCCCCATGTGTAACGTGTATGCAAGCCAGTTTCCCTTAGAAAGTCCTCCATGAAGGCATCCCTCCCTTTAGGCAGATAGCCCTTATGTGCCGTAATCAAATAAACCAAACATAGACAGTTGAGAATATAGCTGCTATTTCCTAGACGGTTTTGAAAAAACCACAGTATAGAAAACTTTTCCGTCGGTTTTTAAGACTGAAACATTTTTCCGTACGCAAAAAATATTGTACATTGCATTTCTCTAATAATGTAAATACCAGCCAGTTTCCTTTAGAGTGTTATTTCCTCTACTAAGGCATTGTTTCTTCGCAGGCAGATAGCCGACAACTCCTTCACTTATATACTGTCATAAAAAAAAATTCCAGACTTTCATTCATAATCATAACAGTTACAATCAATTTTCTTGTATACAGTAATACCATTGAAAACATATCTAAGTTGTGGTTGCCTAAAGTTTCGGGGTTGCCTTCAAAGAAAAGCAACATGATCAATTCGCATGAATATCATGAAAGCTAATATTTACTTTAATCCCTAGGTTAGTAAAACATTGACTCGTAATAGGTCACCCTATGCTGATTTTTAACTGCGCTATTCGAAAAGCAGAGCCAAATACAGGAATTTTTTTTTAAAAAAAAAGGATAAAAAAAAACTTTCATTTGGAAATTTATAACAGGAAAAAAAAAAAAAAAAAAATCACAGTTTAATCCTAATAAATATTCATCTACCATGTTTCTTTAACAGCAGACGTTTCCAATATGCTTTTTTCTAATAAAATGAAAAAGAATGGCAGCTTTAAAGTTAGGACTAGCTTTTTAAATAACCGAAGACAATAGATATGGTTCAAGGACTTTTTGGAAACGGCCTTGCGTCTTTCTATGCTCCACCCGAATTTACGCATTACGCCCTGCATACAACGCGGTTATAGTATTAGACAACTGACGAAAAAAACTGCCGCCCATGATGGATGGATGGAGTTCTTTTTGATTACATTTCGAAGTCATTTGCGAAACTCGAAATTATTATGCCACTGAGGCAGACATACCTTTATCCAATGATATGTATCTAAAAGTATAAAAATCAAATTAATTTATAAAATAAAATTTTAGTAATTTTCTTGAATAACCACAGTGTGAAAAAGTTACGTTTTAAAAGCTGAAGAAAATACACTCCGTAAAATACAGTATTTACTCGTATATTCAGGACTGGCGAAACCAATGCGGTCGCACTGGATGGCAGAATTTTGTTTAATATTTAAAGAAGTAATGAACAAAGATATTTTAGAGATGGCAATACTTTTATTATTTAGGAAAGACACTAGGCTACAGAATTAAGGAACAGCATTTTCTTTTAAAACTTAGGAAGGTACAAGGCAGCAGAATTCAGAAGCTGCAGAGGTTGCACTAGACGGGGAAAATGCCTAATGCTGGTCTCGTGTGTATTTTTCTCCTAGTGTCCCCTCTCCGCAACTTTTTAGTACAAAATTCTGAATTTTTTTTTTTTTTTTTTAATATTCACGTAATTCCTCCGCCCCCCCTTTCTCAAGGCGTTTAGAAAGCATAGTCTCCTAAATTGTTTTCGTATTAACAATTAATTTGCTCGTGGTATTTTGTGCATGGCTCTGAATGATGAAGCATTTATAAAGCAGGGCTTCAAGAAAACAGGGATAACTAACGCTCTTAATGGTTCTAAAGATCATTTTTTACGTGGGAAGACAGACTGATCAGTGACGATGCCAACGACTAGCAAACGGCATAGACAGTAAGCAGAACTAGACGCAACAATAAGAAATGGCGATATTAAAGTTACAGGAAGCAGAAATGAAGATATCGTCTTAGATACTGTAATATCTGGTTGCAACGAAAGTTTTCCTCCAAAAAAACGTTCTCAATAAAGTTGAAAAAAAAAAAAAAACATGAAAGCAGTACCTTTAGTTCAGATAACAATCACCACCCAAATCAACTATTTTCCGCCAACGTTTTGGTACTTTTTCAAAACTTCGGCGTAGAAACTTGGTGGCCGCAAGTCCAAAAAAAGATCAGCCTCATTTCGGACGTCCTGTACAGAATGGCAAGGCCGCATGTGAATGACTTCTGACAATCCAACCACATCTGACACTAAATTTGCAAACAGCGATTCTTGCACAAAGCGCATTTTTTAGTTCAGTCATCCATCCAACGGTTACAAAATCACATCCAAGAACTTGAATCTTGGCTTCAGAAATGAAAGATCCTGGTCAATACTGACAAGACTGTGGCTATCCTCGTCAGAAAACGAAGAATGTCAAATCCTAGTTAGCCTGGGCCAAGCAAGTCCCTTACCTTGGGGAGATTATCATTAATTCTTTCGCATGTACCATAAACGTTACATCTATTATCCAGAAGTTTCGAGTGCATAAAGCTAAACTCTACCCCTTAATTGATCGAAAAAGCGTCCTATCGCTATCTACAACAAGTTATTCACCTATTTTCTGTTATGGATATCTAGATTTATTCATGTAAAAAGATTTGGAAGAAATTGTTTAACGCCCAGGAGGGTGTTTTTGCGAACTCTCCCTGGTATGTCAGAAACAATCGTGTTCATGAAAAAATAAAAACAATCAAATTAAAGATACTAGATACACTGGTGTGCAAAAATTAAGGACGAAGTCGAAAAATTAGCATATCAGCTGAACGAAGAGGCAGAGCGGACAGAAAGACCAATCAGGAGCTTTAAGTAAGTTGATGTACGGTGGCACATGCGCAGATATGCAGGTAGACGTAATGGGGGAGTGTCTGAGTAGTATAAAGCATGTTATCGGTGTAAGATCAGTATTTCTGGCAAAGAGATTGAACGCCGTATAGCAGTTAAAATCACACCGAGTTGCAGCCTCAGCGAGAAATGGCGAATAATCAATCTGTTAGACAATATCTGGAAGCTTTTACCCGAGGTCGAATCATTGGGAAGTTGGAGGAAGGCCGCAGTGTGACAAGTGTGGCTGCGGAGTTTGGAATTAATTGCTCACAGCATCGTTTCACGACTTTGGAGACAATTTCAAACTACAGGAACGTCCACGTGTGGTTGTCCACGAGGAACCACACCCGCAGATGACCGGTATATTGCCTTACAGGCCAGAAGAAACAGGCGGCAGGCAGCGGGAGAAATCGCTAGAGACACGACACAGTCGACTGGACGACCGATATCGCGTTTTACCGTGGCCAGAAGCTTGCACGGTGGTGGTCTGTTTGCACGACGCCCAGTACGGTGTGTACCTCTAACGCCTGCCCATCGGAGAAGGCGTTCTCTGTGGTGCCGGGAACACCGGAATTGGAGAGACAATGAATGGGGACGAGTACTCTTAACAGATGAGAGCAGATTCAGTCTGAGTAGCGATTCTCATCGCATACTCATCTGGAGAGAGCGGGGAAGCCGCAATCATCCCTCGAACATCATTGAAAGAGACAGGTATGGAGGTGGCGGTGTTCTCGTTTGGGGAGGCATCATGCTTGGTAGTCGTACAGACCTTCACATCTTCGACGCAGGTTATCCCATACAGTCAACGGGACCCGTTATTGTAACGAGATTCTTCTTCCATATGTGCGTCTTTTTAGAGGCACTATGGGTCCGCAGTTCCTTTTCATGGACGACAATTCACCATGTCATCGCACAGTAGCTGCCGAACAGCTCTTAAAGAGAGAGGATATTGAACGTATGGATTGGCCGGCACGATCTCCGGATCTCAATCCCATCGAGCATGTATGGGATTTTCTAGGCAGACGCTTGGCAGCTCGTACCTTACCACCAGTAACGATTCCGGAGCTTCGATTGGCGCTGCAAGAGACGAATGGGCAAGCAATGCCTCAACAACTCATTGACACCCTCTTCTCAGCACGGGCAGACACTGTGAAACCTGCCTAGCAGTCAGGGGAGATCAATCCCCTATTAAAGACCGGATGTTTCTTGCTGGACACCCATCACAGGGATGTTTCGGCCTTCAGTCGCATTGCGCTCCATGCTACTTTTTCCAATAAAGCTTCTTTTTATCCCTCTGATTTCTCTTTTAGTAAGTGTTGCTTACATTACTCATGTCCTTACGTATTGGGGATCTTACGGTATTAAATGTGTTGATTTGGAAAGCTTTTGTACAAAGTTATATTGAAAAAAACCGTCTCGTCCTTAATTTTTGCACACCAGTGTAGTAAGCTTCACGATAGCCAGGACAAAATTAAAAACTTTCCCATAGCAACATGTGTGATTACAATTATAACAACCCATTTACCGAAAAAGGGCTAAGACCGCTTTTAATGCCCAAATTATGTACACTCATGTCCATAAATTAAGGATAATGCAAAATCAGGCAAAGGAAGAGTTAGAAGCAAAACAAATTTGACTTATTTGTAAAGCTTATTTATTAAACAAAAGGTAAAGAGCAAAAAAGATGCTATATGTTTGATATTATTAAAAAAATTAGCGATTTTTTCTCCCTGGAGCAAATTACTAAAAAAACCTATTTACAAAAAACCAATATTACATGGTTGGTATGATTGCTAATACATTGTATGTCTCCCAGACGATGCAATACAGTCCGTACAACGCCTAAGCATGCTGAATATCAAATTATCGATCTGATCTTGGGGGATATTACACCACTCAAAAAGCAATGCTCTCCGAAGTTCCGGTAGACATGTAGGAGGAGGTTGACGGGCTGCAACTCGTCGGCCAAGCATGTCCCACACGTGCTGTACTGGATTCAAGTCCGGTG